CTAAAGGCACATCTTGATTTCTTTTCATCTCCCAGGCCTGCTGAGGGTGTTAAATTTTAGTATATGTGCTGCTGAAGCGAGCACGAGGGTGTTAAATTTAAGGAGAAACCAAAGGAAAAAAAACTGGCAGAGGAGGGGATGTTTTTGCTGCTGTTTAACTGACTGCTTCATTTTTGGTTTTGCCTTTTTAACAAACCCGCATTGCCTGAGACCACCTCTGCATCACCTTTTCTCTTTCCTCCTTCCTTGACTTTATGGCAATTCCATATATTTTCGGTAAAGGAAATGATATCTGGTCAAAGCTGTCTGTAGCCTCCCTTGCCAACTTCCAAACACACACTTTCTCAGTTTAGTTTTTGGCACAGAAAGAGGTGGTGTTTGAGTTTGCTAATTCTCTCCTCCCTCCACATTTGAGTTAATCAGCCAGGATATTCAATAAATCGAAACTTTAACATTCCATAAGTGCTTTAGCAGTCAACATTCCAGCAGGGTAAAGTAGGCCAGAGTTAAGATATAAAATATTATAGATTTCTGCTTGGAGGGAGGAGGTAGTCTCCAAAGGCCATGTAAAGTAAACAGCTATTTGTTGTAATTGGAGAGCACAGCCCCCAAGGATTACCCTGGAATCCATGTGTTCAGAACTAGTCAGGCTAAGCCCAAGAGCAGCCTTGACTCCAAATAATAACCTGTTGGCACAGCATATGCTCCCTGCTCTCCATCTGCAATCAGTAGCCAGAAGTATTTCAATCCCCACCTGGCTAGTGGCATTACGTGAGGTTCACAGGGATCCTGACATTCCTGAGGGGAACCTGTGAGCTGGCAGAACAGGACTTGGGAGCCAGACAGGAGGAGCAGCCTCCTGCCAGCTGGGATGGAGCAGGCTTATGCAGCTGCTTTGGTTTTTGAGTGAGGTGGTTCTTATTTGGCAAAATGCCAAGGTAGCACTGTCATGGCCCTGAAGGCCTGAAAGAATGGCTGAGGGAGCCCAGGCAAGTCATGGAACCAGATTAAATGACATGAGCCAGTCATCTAGCTAGGTTCTGAGGCAGTGAGGCCTGGGACAGATCAATTTTGATTGAGGCCCCAGGAGAGAAAGGTGTAATGTGAAGAGTCTGGAAATTGTTGAGAAAAGACCAGCACTTGAAGCAGACAGGTCAAGACAAGGCAGCATAGAGGAAGGTCTTGGGCTGTGAAGGGGTGAAAGAACTGAGGACAAACTTTGTCTACTCGATATACTATGCCTCAATACTTTGCAGTTAACACCCCTGTCCAGCTGTAGCTGGGAAAATCTGAAAATGGCTTGTTTTCTCTCCCCTTTCATGTTGGCTTGGGTTCAGGAGAGGCCTAGAAATATCTATTCCATCATCATGTGCCACTGGGTTCCCACAGTCTGAATCCAGCTAATAGGAAAGTTGGCAAAGGGAAATGATGCTCAAAGACAGCTGGACAGGGATGATTCCAGCTGTTGGAGACCCTTGTTACTAGACACAACCCAAGTCACTTCCTGTATGATCTGTCCTTTGGCATCAAGGTTAACAGAGAGTTGGAGAAAAACTGTGGTGACTCAATGGCCACACCTCTTGGATTTCATGATTTGTTCTCACACCAGGTCTTGGACAGTGAGATTGCAAGCTGCCCTCTACTAATAAGCTCAGGGTACTCAGAGACATGAGATATTTAGAGAATGAGGGAACTAAGACTGGAAGCTCAGAAGTAATCTGCCTGAACAAAGCAAAGAACTAAAGGCTCCAATAGATTGGTGTCACTCAGAGTTTAGCATCCAGAACTGAGTCATGGCCTGGTTTCTAATCTTTTTGCCATACTGGCCACTCTGAACATTCTTCTGTTTTTCTATATTCCTCTCTAAACATATTAGAACTAAACACAGTACTCTCAGTGTGGTCTAGCTAAAGCAGTCCTCCCCTTTATGCTGGTCACCTCTCTCAATGCAGCCTTAGATCACACTAGCTTCCTCCCCCGCTTTTATGTGGTCCTGGGGATTGAACCCAGGGGTACTTTACTATTAAGCTACATCCCCACCCCTTTTTAACATTTTATTTTGAGACAGGGCCTCAGTAAGTTTTCCCAGGCTGACCTCAAACTTGCAATCCTACTGCCTCAGCCTCCCAGGTAGCTGGGATTACAGGTGTGCTGCCATGCTTAGCATTTTTATATTAGCTTTTAAATGGTTTTTAATTTTTTAAATTTTTATATAACCAGTTTTACATCGGCCATATTTATAATTCCACTGTTTTATATATTTGCTGAGCCACATCTCGCCATTACAGAAATGGACAGACTTGCATAAATGTCCATTGCAGAAATGGATGGATTTGCATATAATTAAAATGTTTATACCATGCTTAAGAGACCCTAGGTTCAATCCTCAGCACCCCCCCCCCAAAATTGTGCCAAAACACAACATAACAGTACACATTTTCAAGAAAACATACATGGTTGCCTGAAGAGGGGAGGTGAATGAGAGCAGCGTATAAAAAGAAACATAATTGAAAGGCCTTTGCACAGATCAGTTGTGTTGTGGTAACAGGCTATGAACTAAAGAGTATGGTTAACTCAACTGTACTTGAGACTCACCTTCCCCCAACAAACACCTCAAACACAAACACCTTGGAAAACTGGTTTGGAGGACAGAAGCGCAGGACTTTATATTAATTTTCATTAAGCTTATTTTATTAAGAGTCAGCCCATTTTTCCATCCTCTTGAAATCTCTTTGGATCTTCATTATGTCATTTCTCTCAGCTGTATGTCTTCTGCACTAGGGTAAGCAGTCTTCTTAGGAGTCAGTTACTAAAATGTTAAACAGGATAGAACCTTGTTCAACACAACTGAAGATTTGGGTCCATTAAATCAGTGTTTGAGTAACCCCTACTTGGCATGAGCCATTTTCCCTTCCCTTCTACTATTGTGTGTCAATCTCTTTTCCCCAGAACTCCTTACAATAAGAGTTAGTAACAACAGACTGAGAATAAAATTCAGAGGACTTCAACACAAGAGACCAAAGGCCAAACTCTAACTATTCTATAGACTAGGAGCAGAAGACCCTTATAAATTTCAAACAGATCTGGGTGGGAGTAGAAATATGTGCCCCCAAAGCTGCCATGCCTAAACATTCTGCTCACAAGCTTATTGCTGGAGCTCCACAGGAGAATGCCCACTGGAGTTTTGAACCTGATTTTAAAATTAACCACTTAAAATTTTTTATCTTTATGGAATAAATTCTATCTCCTATGTAAATTACACAGAATATTATTACCCTTAAGAATTTCACCTTTTAGCCTGACATGGTAGCACATGCCTGTAATCCCAGTGCTCAAGAGACTGAGGCAGGAGAATCACCATGAGTTTGAAGCCAGCCTGGGCTACGTAGTGAGTTCAAGGTCAGCCTGAACTACATAGTGAGACCTTATCTCAAAAACTTATTTTTCATCTTTTGGCCCTATCTGATCCCTGTTATTAGCATGTGTACCCTCTAGCTACTCACACTGGAGTCCTTTCTTATTTTTATCATTCTCCTCTATTAAGGGACATCCTGAGGATCTTTGTGAGTTCCTCAAGCTATAAGTCCCTTACCATTTTTCTCTTTCTGATTAAAACTTTTTCCTGTTTTTTTTTAAAAAAGAATCAAATTGTTTAAGCTTGGTATGGCTAAATCTTAGGTACTTGGGAGGCTGAGGCAGAAGAATTACAAGTTCAAGTCCAGCCTGTGCAATTTAGTAAGACTGTCTCAGTGTGAAGCTCAGTGTGAAGTCCCTGGGTTCAATCCCTAGTACTTGAAAAAATTGCATTTCTTTGAATGAGAAATGGCTACATATGAGTTCATTTCATACCTTCGGATGCCTCAGATAATCATATCATGTTTTTGTTCTGTGTGTTGAAAACATGGTTAAAGATAGGAATATCAAGGAAGAATCTGTTGATTCTTACAACTAGTTGATTTGCTGATTATTACATCTGTATCCAGATAATAGATGCACTATCTTAGGACAAAATTATAAAGTCTTCAGTATCACCAAGATTTTATTTCTAGGTCCTTTTACACTCTTTGGAGTTGATGTATTTCTTTTCTTCTTGTGGGTAAATAAAAATATTTTAAAATCTTTATCTCTGACCTTGTCAGCTAGAATATTTCTGTTTGTTTGTTTGTTTGTTTGTTTTGGTACCAGGGATCGAACTCGGGTTCTTACGCTTGCGCAGCAGGCGGCGAAACCACTGAGCTAAATCCTCGGCCCGTCAGCTAGAATATATCTGAATTCCTTTCCTTTTCCCTTAACTTTGCAACGTCTCAAATCAATATGGAGTCCAATACTACCTGCCAACTCTTTGCCATGGATAAACTTGAAATTCTCAGGAGAGAAGGGGCGAGTAACAAGCTTGTCAACTCGGGACTGTGCTGAAAACACTTTTTAGTAGAAAGCCCTCAAGAGGCCAAGTTTTGCCTCCTGCCATAAGCAGGAGGAACAAATTTACTGACTTGTGTGGCCTTTGTTAGAGTTAGCTACAGGCAGTTGACAGCCTCATGTGGCTTTAAGGACATGAGAGCTGAGGGTGCAAAACAATTTCAGTCTAGAGGACAGCATGTACTCTGGGGAGGAGGGACGTGACATTGGGAATGATACTGAAGCCTGATCTCTTTTTTGCACTGAGAAAGCTGCTGTCCCATTTCTTGAAGTGGGTGCATGGTATCTGACAACAATAGCACTTTATAATTATGGGCTTTTATAGCCAAAGCCTTTTCATGGTCTCTTCCTCATAATATGCCCAGTGGGGCTGAGGGTATACCTCATAATATGCCCAAATCAGAACACTTGCTTAGCATGCTCAAGACCCTAGGCCTGCCTCACCCCCTCTACTGGGGGTCGAACCCAAGACCTTGCACATGCTAGACAACTGCTCTACCACTGAGCCAAATACCTAGCCCCTGAACAACTTTCTCTTGGGTTGATGCTAGTAACAGAATGGCATTCACTTTTTTCTTTAGGAATTCTCGAGTTTATCAGCCTGGCTGTGGGGCTGATCAGCATCCGAGGTGTGGATTCTGGCCTATATCTAGGAATGAATGAGAGAGGAGAACTATATGGATCAGTAAGTATCAGAGGTTTCCCCCCGCCACTTCAGAGATTATTATCACCCGTGTTTGCACAATGTTAGGCAAAAGGATACAAAAATTTATCTAGAACCTGAAAGCACTTTCGTCAATGGTAAAGAATTAGCATCTTCTGGTTACTTCTTGGCTGTCCAGAACATTGCTCCATAACATCTTCACACTTTCTGCCCCCACCCCCATCAAAACATAAGCTTTTCTGTAATATATTTGTTTTCATCTTGCCCATTAGTGGGCCAGACAGTCTGATGATAACAGTAGATAGTTGTGCTGGTTTGTCAGTAGTCAGGCTTCGAGGCATTAACCATCTCAAAGAGCACATCTCAATTTTAACGGGTGCCCAGGTAAGTAGCAGACTAGCCAGCACAAAAATAGGCAGTGCAAGAGCTAGCCTTCAAATTGAGGAATCTGAGGTTAACAACATAGTCCCTGATTTCCAGATTGCTTTAATTGAATCCCAAAGGCCAAATGAAACAAAGAAATGAAGAATGAGGGTCCCGAGGTCTGGTGACAGCCCTAACCCCCTAGCTAGGCATAGGCTGGCTACAGTGCATTTTCTCTATTCTGGAAGGTGTCCAGCATTGGGGAATGGTGACTTTTCTGACCTTAACCCTTTCAAAGGATACCAACTCCTGGCTCAAACTTTTGAGTCACATTGCACGCTTTCTGGCTGCCTACACCCTATTAAATCAGAACACATTTTTCCCTGACACCTAAGAGATAGGCTTGTCCCCAGCACTCAGTTTTGGCAACCCCTGCAAGTACTATGGTGGCTGGATCAAGTGTGAGAAGGGACAGAGACAAGAGACCCAGGAGCTGCCAACTTGAAGTAGCCAGATTGGAGGAGTTTTTCAAGATCTTTTATGTGCTTTCCAACTGACAGGCCTGAGACTCTTCATTAGGAAAGATCATAGCTCAGCTCCCATGGAGCTTCATGTGGATCCACGGCCCTGCCTGTTAGTGGATGTGGTTTACTGTAATCTCAGTGGTTTTAAACATTATTAGCACTAAGTAGGGAGAAAGCTCAGTGGATGCCAGCAGAGTATTGGAAGGTCATAACAGAAATTCTTGGGCTCAAAGAGCTACGGTGAGGCTATCTCCTCCAATCTCTTCCCTTCAGGAAAGATCTCACCCAAAACATTTTGTGTGGCTCATGAAAGAGATAGAGTCAGGAGTATTTTATACTATTTGGAAGAATGATACCTCAGTAATATGGGGAGATACGACTGAAATTTTCTAATGTCAATGTACTATTGCTATTTTAGAATTTTTCCACCAGCAAGCTAGGATGGGAGAAATTTGTCATATAATGGGTTCTGCTTTATTTTCTTCCCCTCACAGAAAAAACTCACACGTGAATGTGTTTTCCGGGAACAGTTTGAAGAGAACTGGTACAACACCTATGCCTCCACCTTATACAAACACATGGACTCAGAGAGACAGTATTATGTGGCCCTGAATAAAGATGGCTCACCCCGGGAGGGATACAGGACTAAACGACACCAGAAATTCACTCACTTTTTACCTAGGCCAGTAGATCCTTCTAAGTTGCCCTCCATGACCAGAGACCTCTTCCACTATAGGTAATAGATCTCCATTGTGACATCTGTGACCCATGTACTCTGGAGCCACAGTTGTCTCTGCAAGCACTATACTCATAGCTGTTCAATTCTTCCTATCAGTTTAGATAACACAGAAGCACTTACTGTTCAACTTGACCCAGCTGGTCCCTTGTTCAAAGTGTATATCAAGGTTGAGTTATTTTGGGGATGGGTGTGGGAGGAGGGGTGGGCCCAAGGGAATCTTGTATATACTTTTTTTTACTCATGTTCTAGTCCCTGGAGGTGGCACAACAGAGAACAGGGACCTCTGCCAAGGCTAGGGGTGTCTTGCCCCACAATCTACCCAAATACCTTTTGACAATGGGTGCAAATGAAAGACCAAGGAATCTGCCATACATGCTACTTACAGATCTTTGGAAAGTCTCATTAAGAAGATCCTTGGGGCTCCAGCCCTGCTGCAGATTTGCAGATCTGCTCTGCAGATTGCTCATTCGTCCTGACATGCAGTTTTCCTGCCACTGGAAGTGGAAGATGGGGTAGGTTATAAGAAAATGATATTAAAATGTAAGCATGGATACTGTGCATAAGGACAAACTATTTATGAAATGTATATGCTATTTATTTTATATATTTATTTATTTCAAAATAATTTTATTTTTAATGAGAGATACTATGACTCGATTTTCATCAGAAAGAATAAAGTCCTACTGAAACAGGATAACAGCTTTTATTGGCAATAAAATTGTCTTTATATTGTAAACCACTGTCTAATATGTTGATTTGTACATTTACTAGGATTAGAATATTGACCAGCTTCTTTCTCTCCCACTCATTGTCACACTGCCTATGTTAGATGACTCCATCATCCAGTGTGTTTGCATTATCTAGGGCCCTATCCAAAGTCCAGGTACAGAAGAATCTGAAGTTTCATATCCTATGACTTTAAACTTAGTGAATTAAAAGTTCCAGAAGGCCTGGACTGTAGGGAACAGGGAAAGGGGACGTTACTAGAACCTCTGCAGTAAGTCCTAGTCTCCTGCGAGCCACGGCAAATTACAGAAAAGGTAAAAAAAAAATGAGACTTTGAGAAGAAGCGGAGCTTTGGGTCTGATCAGTGCTGCTCTGGGCAGCAAAGAAGAAAGCCCCCAGTTTACCGCACATCGGGAGAAACAAATGTAACAAATGACTTGCAGAGAGTTCGGTACATCTACTTAAACAAGATGTAACAATCCAAGAACAATGAGGAACTGAGTAGATGAAGATTTTGTTCCTTCCACAATGTCTTCAGCTGGTGTAATCTTGTCCTGGAGAATCACAGCATCACCAGATCATTGAGGTCTCAGTTGTGACCAGAGGCCAAAATGAAATTATGTCTTGGAATGCCATAGCTGGGCTGTAGGCAGGAGAACTAGGCTAACCAAATGATTTTTCCCCACAATTATGTAGCATTGCTCCTGACACAGGACCAACCATTCTTACTGAAGTTCCCATTTGTGCTTAGGACTAGGCATAGAGAAACTCTCCTTTGGGACTTAGTCAGAGTCCAAAGCCCTAAGATCAGAAACCCTAATTGGTGGCTCCTTACTTCAGATATGAAGGTGAAATGATGCAAAATAAACAACAATCAATAGAAAGAGTGATTTTTGAGCCATCAACTTCCCTTCTGGAGATGTTTCCCTACTCTCCCTACTTTACAGATCTTCTCAACATCCCCTGCCAAGTGTTTCTTGTAGGGAATTCTGGAAAGCTGTCAACATATTCCCCTAAAGCAGTAGTGCTCAGAGTGTATGATCTCTTGACCAGTAGTATCACCTAGAAACTGGTTAGAGATGTGAATTATCAGAAACTCTGGGGATGGAGCCTAGCAATCTGTATGTTAACAAGCCCTCCAGGGGCTCTCCATGTATAATAAAATTTGTGAATTAATGCCCTAAAGAAAATTATGTTGCCTTTTCAACCAAATTTTTTATAAATAAATTTTAGGGTAATTTTAGTCCACAGAAATAAGGACAGTGAGTGACTCTAGTTGAAGGAAGAATGGCATACCTTGGAGCTCCCCTTTTCCAGGAACAGTATCTGACATCTTGGTTTGAAATCTTTGGCCTCTTTGCTGATATTTACAGAGGTATGAGTACAGTATTACTTGTATTTTCATAGTAAATATTGTTAGGAAACAAGAATCAAAGCATAAAAGTCTTAATGAGTACACAGACACTATGAAAGCCTGGTAAGAGATGGTCCCTGGATCTGGAACAGTTCTTCCTAGTATTCATCAATCTCATCATGTAGGCATCCACTATTTTTTCAACTAATTGCATGGTTGAAACAAATACCTTAGATACTAGGTCATATAAAAAGAAAAACCAGAATTCCCTGACACCACCAAAAACAAAGTGCAGGCATAGTTCAGTGGTAGAGCACTTGCCATGCATGCATGAGCCCCTGGATTCCATCCAGGGGCATTGCCAAAACAAAAAACCCTGAACGGTGTATAAAAGCTCACCCAAATCTAACTACCCAACAGAGAATCAATACATATGAAAATATATACCTGAAATAGCAAATAAGACTGATAAAAAGTGCAAAGTTGTATCACTTATGTGATCATTGACTAAATGTTAATCAGGGGAACCACCAAGATGATCTCCATGGGTTAGGGTGACAAGAGTAAGTTTCCTGACAGGGATAATGCCTGCTGTGAAGAAACAAGAGGATTTGGAAAAGCAAAGGGCTGATGGTGTTCATGCTGGGCTGTGGGGTAAAGACACTACCTCTAGAGTTCTCTGGGAGATGTCTAAAAACCAGCCACATGACATTTTTGTCACATTGCTAAAGAGCATCACATCTTGAATTTTTTTGAGACAGAATCTGGCTGTGTTGCCCAGGCTGGTCCTGAACTCCTGGGTTCAAGTGATCCTCTGGTCTCTGCTTCCTGAGAAGCTTGGATTACAAGTGCATGCTACAGCACCTAGCTTCATACCTTGATTTTAAAACCAAAGTTTTGCCTATGTTTTCTCTGTTTAGCTACCTAGTACTTTTGATACACAGCCACAACTGCTATAACTGATAGGAAGCTGACACGTCTCTGTGAGCAGGGCAAGTGTTACTCAAGCAAGGCAGCTGACATGGGCTTGGTAAACCATAAGCACCATACTGCAGAGCAAGATTTTTTTTAAAAAAGCATCACCATCATGAGAAAGGTAAAGACTCCAAATCCTAGGTGAGTCCTTATCCTGTCTCTCTGAGTGAAAGTAAAGGGGAAAAGACCTGAAGAATGTTGTGGGGTCCCAGGATGCAGGAGAAGCTCTTGTGTTGAACTTTGAGGCATAACAATGCATGAGGCAAGGCCCAGAAAAATGGCAATGGGAAACTGTTATTTTCAAAAAGAAGGAAAAGATAAATTCTGGAAAGGAAAATATAATATGAGTGAGCTAGTACCCCTAGATCAGTTCACAACTGATATCATATCCCCAAAGTGCTGATGTAATGCCAACCTAAAGGGGATTAGACAATAATAAGCTCTGGAGTTCTGGTTTTGGATGAAAATATATGCAAAGACCATTTCTTATTCATCTTTGCATCCCTTCCCTGTGCTTAGGACATTCCTGGGACAGAACAGGCACTTGGGACATGTTTGTTGAATACATGAGTGGTTGATTGAAAGAAAGAATGAGTAAATGAATGAATGGACAAAGACATAAATGCCTTCTTTGGTGGATGTGTATACAATACAAATCCTGGGCTAGAAAAAGAAAATGACTTATAAAACAGAATTAGCTGAAGTGTTAAGTTCTAACTATGCTTAAATAAGCACAATAACAAACTCCAGTGGGTCTCAGGAAGGATGAGGTCTCTGTCATTAGAAGTGTTTAAGCAGAGGCTAAGACAATCACTTGAGAAGAATAGTGCATCATTTAGATTAGACAGGGTAAATATTAGATAAAGATGGTAGGATGTAATATTGGTTTACTAATTATATATTCTGAGTATCCCCAGAAGTCTGAACACCAACAGTGATCCAAGAAAGAAAATATAAGACCCAAAAGTGCTACCAAATTGCTATTCCAGTCTAAGAAAAACACTGTAGATCAAAGTTTCCAAACTTGGGGGTCATAAAGTCTTTAAGGGTACATGGAAGGTCCCCTGGGTCTGAACTCCCCAAAATAATATGTGAAGTTTTATGTATACATGTTTGGTATTTTATTGGTCCTCAAAGTCTCCCCTAAAAGCTAGAAATAACCACTCTGAGTTTCTGCAGCCTTAAGGCATCTGACCTAAGAATTGGTGGCCACTGTGATCCTATGTGAAAAACTTGACAAGGTCATTAGGTGTTTTTTTTTTCTCTAAAGATATAGATTTTATGTGTGACACATTTGACTCCTATTCTCTAAGAGATAACTTCAAATTTGGCAACAAGAAGGTAAGAATAGAGAAAAGGAGGAGCTGTGATGGCTCACTGCTATACAGTTCTGAACAATCAATGCCAGGCCAGCCCTGACATCAGCAAGACTCTGCTTCCACTCCCTATACACTCTTTTCAGCCTTATTGCCACTGCTAAATGTTGCTATCTTCATCTGTTTTCTGTTGCTATAATTGAATGACAAAGGCTAATTTATTTTTAAAGGTTTATTTGGCTCACAGTTCTATAGACTGAGAAGTTCAAGATTGGGCAGCTGCACCTGATGAAGGCCTTCTTGCTGATAAGGACTTTCTGAAACATCCCAAGTGGTGTAGGGCATCACATGGCAAGACAGAACATCTTAGCTTATAAAGTTACAGTCCAGTTCTTTCTTCCTCTTATAAGACCACTATTCCATTGGATCAATCTCCCACCTTTATAGCCTCATTTAACTTTAATTACTTCCTAAACCATTCCACCTCCAAATGCCACCTTCTGATTAAGTTTCCACCTTCTTAATACCTTACAATGGGGATTAAATTCAACAGGAGTTTTGGTGGGGACATTCAAACCATAACAGTTGTTCCTGCTCAAAGAACAATCAGAAATATGGGTAAGGTGGCACACAGCTGTAATTACAGCACTTGGGAGAGATAAGAGAATCACAAGTTTGAGGCCAGCCTGAGCTACATAGAAAGACCTTGCCTCAAAAAAAACAAAGAAACAAAGAGCCAACTGCACCAGGCTGAGACCTAGGTTATTAGATCCATCACAGCAGGAGCCCATGCAAAAGGAATTTAATCAAAGGCTTGAAACACAAAAAAGAACATAGGTTTATCTTACCTCCAAGTCACCGCAGTCCTCAGCCACGGGATCCTTGGCTGTGTATTCAAAAATCCATCAGGCTCAGGGTTCTAGTGGGGCCACAGCTCACCTGAGCTCAGTCCAGGTTGCCTGGAGTGCAGCTCCAGACTCTCTGTTCCTGAAGAGACTGCATCTTGGAAACTACTTTCCTCCTCATCTGAGTAGTTGGAGCTACACTGCTTCCCCTCAGCACTTCACAATCTGGGATCAGTGTCAGGGAAGAAGATAGGAGGGCAGAAGAAGGGGACTAGAGAAGAGGGATTCTCTCTTTTGAAAAGACAAGTTCATTGGCAAGCCATCTAAATCTCTTACTCAACAAGAGGATCAGAACATTGTTTTAGTTTGTCATTCCTAGCGTTCCCTCATCCTCAATAGAAAATGGAAGTCTTTCTAA